CAGAGGAAGAGAAAACGAAGAACGGCGACGGTGTGGTCTTTATAGCTCGACCAAGAAGCAAGCAGAAGCCACGCAGGGGCCTTTCCCCACGCCAGCGCGACGCCAAAGATGGCCATGACGCGCCTGGAACACCGAAGAAGATCGCCATCCATGTAGCTTAGGCGGTGAACACTGTTCACAATAATTACAGAATTGCCATTCGTTTTAAAATCCAAATTACTCCCAAATTTGTGTAACAACTAAAAAATCTCCAAAAACAAAAATTGTTCAAAATTCAAACTTCTACAACTTTGCTTTTATAACCATACCCAAATTCAGTCTATATTTTGAAATGCAAATTTGAATTCAAAAGGGGACACTTTAAGTACATTTCGCCTTTTCAAATTACTTCAAATTTTTCTAAACAACTTTGAAAACTCCAAAAACAAACTTTGTACAACTCAACAAGCTCTACATTTTTGCTTTAAAGCTCAACCCCAAAATATGCTTTGATTTTGAAATGGGTTTTCCAGGGCAAACTTAAATGCTGAAATCAGGGTTTTCGAAATTCCAATTCAACACAATTGTTTTGAAATTGATTCATCCATACAAGTCAACACATATCATCATAAAACAAGGTTCACACCAAGCATTGCAACAAAAATTATTAAACTTTTATTAAGGAAGAATTTGAATTGTTTAATAGATTCCCACATTAAAATTTATAAAGTTTCATAATTATTATTTCAGATAATATATAAAACACTCCATAAAATACCATTTGCATGCTATAGTATAAACATGAAATGCATTCACGAGTTGATGCAAGATGATTATGCATAATGATGACATGATCACCTTCTTAATTACTTTTTAACATCTGGGATGTTACAAATGTATGCCACACCGAGGACGGGAGCTTTAGCTCCACAAATCCACCCATGAGCAAACTCATCTAGAGGATCTCCCAGGTAACTGAGGAGGTGAGGCAAGGGACTCACACTTCTAATAGGGAGAAAGACGTGCTCATCCAAGCACTTAGAACCAAGGAGCACCCTGGTCGCACTAGAGGAACCGGTGGTGTTCCTTGGAAACTAGCATTCCCTGAAGAATCTCACACTTACCGGAGCCGTTCGAGGGGTAGAGCGGATCAGGAGGCAGAGTGTTTGAGGCGACTAAAAGAGATGAAAGACAGAATGGATGCACGGATTGAGGTGACTATTGAAGCATGAGTCTAGCAAATTTTGCTGTCCAAGGGGTCAGGAGTACCACAAAACCCTAGTCCTACTGCCTTTAGCCCACAGTTTAGGGGTCGCAACAGCTGCGAATCGACCCCGCTCAATGAAGAAGATGCGAATGTGCCTCATCTGGTGGACGGCATCATTGAACCTGTCAATGTCAAGTTGTACATCCATCAGGAATGGACAAAGGACAAGGTGGCACTCGGCCAGGCCTGGCCTACGGGAGACGGGACCAATAGTGGCCTCACAATTCCACAGGGGTACACTCGCGTCACCATTGATAGAATACTTGATAAGAAGTATAACAAGATACACATTGAGTACCCCACAGTGGAAGACAAGCCGAAACTTGGTCATAACAAGGGCTCTCAAGTGGCCTGGTGCAAGCGCTTCATTAAGATTGACCACCAATTGTCCTCTGATGATGAGGACGACTACGAGTCTTCGCCCAACCGCGATGATCACTCACCATCTCCCAACAGAGATCACTCCCCTCCTCATCCCTTGCCATCACCCCTAAGAAGACAGAGGTCTCCTTCTATTCCTCCTCGTCCGACTCCATCTTCATCAGCCCCGAGAAAAGAGAAGACTCCTCCTCTATCTTCATCAGCCCCGGAAAAATAGAATTCTCGTCGTCATCCTCCTCCTCCACCACCACCTCAGCCCAAAACAAGATCAAAGGCATCCTCGCAGTCGCGGAAAAGGTCCTTGGATTCGGTCGCTAATGCTCCCAAAGTGGACCAACAAAAAAGAAAAAGGTCATTCAGTGGCACCATTACAAACTTATCTCGAAGGAAGATTGTGTTAGTTTCTTCAATCTCTGTGCCTCACTGCCTCCATGTTTGTTGAAGTCCGAATTCAAAAGGCAAACACAGAATCAGTATGCTACAATAAGAGCCGATGAAATACACAATGAAGATTTAAGAAAGATACAGAAGTACGTCGAAGACAACCCCGAATTAACCATGGAAGAGGCCACGAACATCTATTATGATGTACAAGGGACGGGAACACTGGCAATAAAGTATGAAATGGGCAATCTTTTGGTTCCCGATGACGAGTATAAAAATTTGACAACATATATGCGCCAGTTGCATGAATATTACATGGATCAAGCAACAGAGACGGAGAACTTTGGTTTTGAGGTTATTATCCGTTCGCCTTATGTTTTGCATTATCCTGAAGAAGAGAAGTTCGATGTCGAGTGGGAGTGCTTGTTCTAGCTATACCAGAAACGCTCTCTCGATTCACAAATGTTGACGCTGTGGACTATGTAAGTACTCTACACGCACGATATTATAATTAACTACTCTCTTGAGACACAAATTGTTAACTTTTGACCAATTCCTATGATTTTCTGTAGGTGTATAGCAAAATTTTGCATACTAAAAAGCAAATGGGATAACATAGGCTTCTTGGACCCCTTGCGAGTCAATGAGAAAACATGTTTATGCCTCCATATATGTGATGTGGAAGACTTGAAAGAGAGATTGATCACTGTTTTCGATGAATTCAAGATGAAGAACAAAACCCACATACTTCTAGCCTACAACTACGAGTATGTGTTCTCAGCTTTTAATTTTGTGCTTCTTTTTTTGTTAAGATTATTAAATAATTAGGATTCTGTGATTGCAACAACCATTTCATCTTCATTTGTGTGAATCTTGCTAAAAATCTGATCGAGGTGTGGGACTCGAAGAAAAAACCATTTCATCATCTGGATGTACTGGTGGCAGTGCTAAATTAGTAGGCGATACTAATAACATATTACTTTCTAGTCACACGTACTGCTTTCTAATGTTTCTCTTTTTAATGTTGCACAGTGTTCGAAGAAGACATATCGGTGGGACGCAGATCCCATTCAAGGTTGTCGAAATGGAGGGGAAGTACCTAAAACAGCCGGCAGGAAACAATGAATGCGGGTTTTATGTAATGTGGGCAATGCTTTGCTACATCGGCGAGAAATCGGAAGAAGCAGATAAATTGGTGTGTATAATCCCTATTTCATTTATGTCTGTTAATAATTTAATAAAATGATTTACTGATTTCTCTTTGGATATCATCTTTTTTGAACGACAGCGCAAGAAATATAACCACGAAAGGCTGTTAGACATGGAGATCGTCGCACTGCAATCGGAGCTGGCAAAATTCATCTTAGCCGACGTATTGGAAAAAGATGGAGTATTTTCCATTGCACAATCCATGAAGTTCAAGGACCAGTATGGCCCAGAGCGGCTCGCTAGATTATTGTAAGAAGTCTGAGAAGCATGCTTCATCTTATCGAATAATTTCTTTTTTATTTTGAGGGATCATGATCTTGATAAGAACATTTAAACTGTAACTGTAACATTTGTAATGTTTAATATTGATGGACCTGTCATCTAAGTAGCGTATATAAAGCGAAATCCGATTCCACGAAAAAATATAAATTAAAATAAATTATAAAACAATAAAATACGAACGGGCCATCACTGCCGGTTAGCAACAAACCGACAGTGTTGTCGTAACCATCACTGCCGGTTAGAAACAAACCGACAGTGTTGGCTTGCTCAACACTGCCGGCTTGAACCATGAACCGACAGTGATGTTTACGACAACACTACCGGTTTGAGCCATGAACCGACAGTGTAGGCTTGCTCAACACTGCTGGCTTGAGCCAAGAACCGACACTCTTGAAGCAACCATCACTATCGGTTGAGACTACAAACCGGCAGTGTTGTTCAACTGGACACTACCTGGTGGAGCCAGGAACCAACACTGTTGCTTGTAGATCAGTGTCGGTTTTTAAGAACCGGCAGTGATGTCAATCCCCCATCACTGTCGGTATGCCACTGTCGGTTCAAAATTCGGGAGCGAATGGGGTTTTTGAACCGATAGTGATGTACAGATCCGGGGTAGTGAATACTTAGACATGTTGAAAACTACTTAGACATGTCCCAAAATGAACAACTGTAGAAGGAAGGAGAATAAAGCGACACTCCACACAAGTTTTAGACCTTTGGTACCTTGACTTGATAAATAAACAGCTGGTAGACACTTACCTTTACCAACAGAATTGACACTGACAGCTCAGTTTTTGACTTAACCTTCTTCACATAACATACATATGGCATGCATATATGCACGTCATGTTAGTTGGTAAAAAAGTAGGCATCGAGATTGAATTGAGTGGCAAAACGTTGGTAAAGGTGACTGTGACACCCGAAGGTTGTCGGTATGAGTTTGCAGAAGAAACTAATACAATTGTGCGTCCAAAAGCTTTACTTTATGTTTTTGCATGTTATAAACCTGGCGATGATAATGCCAACTTCAACCAACTCTCTGTGTCTAGTTGAAAGATTAGTTTGCATCAGATCGATATCTTAATTAATCAGATGCAATACGAAAAGCAATAAGCATATATACATCGATATAAAGTCGATCGGTCGACATCTTTCCCAGCTAGATTGCAATTAACTACAACTACAGCCACACATAATGTTCCTTTTGTGTCGCTTCATAACTAGAATCGGATACTCTTTTTCTTTCTTATTATTATGTATTGATAGATTTATTACACAAGGTTAATAACCACTTGTTTATTTAAAATTTAAAATGTTTTTATGCTCTAATTTATTTGAGTAAAGTCACCAATCTCCTTGTTAAAAATAAATAAATAAATTGGTCAATCAGTCAATTCTTCTCTATATACTTTTCAATACTACTTGATTAATAATAATGTGTCATTATTTTATTTCCTTCTGTCTTTGTTCATTCACTTGTCTCTCATAATTTTGCCAGGTGCTCACACCATTGGGCTAGCACGTTGCACCAACTTCAGAGCCCACATATATAATGACACCGACATTGACGCTGCCTTTGCAAAAACAAGGCAATCAGCCTGCCCAAGCACCTCAGGTGCAGGTGACAACAACCTGGCACCATTGGACCTTCCAACCCCTACCGTCTTCGAGAACAACTACTACAAGAACCTTCTTAGCAAGAAGGGCCTTCTACACTCTGACCAAGAGCTTTTCAATGGCGGAGCCACCGACGCGCTGGCCCAATCTTATGTTGGTAGCCAGAGCACGTTTTTTGCAGATTTTGTGACGGGTATGATCAAGATGGGTGACATTACACCAATTGACGGGCTCCAACGGCCAGATAAGGAAGAACTGCAGAAGAGTTAATTAGTTCATTAAGATGATGAACTGGAATAAACTATCTTTGAGGCTTGTTCTTCGGTTATGCATGTTCAGTGACTTGTTGTAGCTTTATATTTTTTTAACAATTGTGAAATCATTGTGTTGTGTTTGATGTGTTTGCATATCGTTTTTTTAAATGATGAATGTATCACTTCTTGTTTATGTCATCTTTTTGTCCAATATATTTTGCATGAGAAAAGGACAATATGTACTAGCGTGAAGTATGCAACAAGTAAATATATATATGGACAGTTAGAAGATGTCTCCAGAGATTGGGCAGATTCAGCCACATTGATTTGATACTCTACAGCATGGAGAATCACCTGATAAGGCATGCATTGGCCATTAGAAGCTACGGTTTTCCTCAAAATAACTAACAAGTATATATATATATATATATATATATAGAGAGAGAGAGAGAGTATTCAGTAGCCAGCTATAAAATAAGTTATTCTGTAGCCACATCCGTTTACGATAATTTTATATACTAATTTACGATAATGTCAATGCATATTTACGATAGTTGGGTTACTATAATACATGGGGTTATTTACCGTAACGTTATAGTAAATCACTTACCAAAGAGTTACTATAATCTCGTAAATTAACATACTAATTATCGTAACTCAAAGTGGCTACAGAATAAGTTATTTTATAGCCAGCTACTGGGTAGTAGTTATATATATATATATATGGTGCATTTTATATACTTCCGGGAGTAGTTACTCCCATAATCAATAAATCACGTTGCGTATGTGTACATACTCATTTATCAGTTTGATTATGTTGACATACTAATATTAAGATACTCCATATCTTTACTATGTGAATTTTTTTTCAAAAGAGCACATATTTTTTAATATATTATATAATACTATGATAGTAGCATATAAAATAAGTATAATCCTATACTTTAAGTATACATACATACTTGTCATACATAGTGTATATCTCTAGATTTATGGCGTATATTTCCTACTCCCAGGGAATAGTTACTCCCATGTGTATATCTCTAGATTTATGGCGTATATAGCCCGACGAAGTGTACGTAGATGGAGTATATCATCATACTAGACCATCTAGGGTACTACGTATGACAAGTATGTATGTATACTTAGAGTATATGGTTATACTTATTTTATATGCTACTATCATAGTATTATATAATATATTAAAAAATATGTGCTCTTTTAAAAAAAATCACATAGTAAAGATCTGGAGTATCTTAATATTAGTATGTCAACGTACTCAAACTGATAAATAAGTATGTACACATACGCAACATGATTTATTGATTATGGAAATAACTACTCCCGGCAGTATATATATATATAAGATGCGTGTGTTGGTTAAGAGATAAACCTTGAGTGGCCCTCTAATAAGTTCCTGAGATAGTTCTAAAAAAAGTTCCTGAGATGGCATGATAGACGTGCTTCACCAATTTCTGACCAAAAACTTCTAACCTCCAGTGCTGTGCAATTGATCTTTCTTCTATACTTAATTTGCACATAGAACATGCTTCCTCTTTCCCTTTTCATAAATGAAAAAGGCACAAGCTCGTGCCCGTTCGTTCAAAAAATAAAAAAAAGAACATGCTTGCTCTAAACCATGTCATAACATTATTAACCTGATATTTGTTTGGCCTTCTACCCTTTCAATAAGGATAATGCTGGCGCACGGACGTCCGATGGGATGAATTCCATCAGACGCCTATTCGTACGCCTGACAAGCCCGCCCTGATGCTTGACCCACCCCATCCGTGCAGCCCCGTCCCCATCCCCATCCATTCGCCTTGTCCCTGAAGGCGCACCACGCCCCCATCCCCATCTGTTCGCCCCACCCCCATAGGCGCACCCCCGCCCCGTCGGGCCCCCACCGCCAGTCCCCAGCGCGCCGCACACCACGTCCGTTGTCCACCGGCTCGCCACACCCTATTCCCTGACACCCCTGACTTTCCAAAGAGCACGAAACACATGCAACGTGAAACACTTGAATGCAACATACGTCTAAAACAGATGAAACATTTGGAATACACACTTGCAACATATGTGTGAAAACATATGCAACATCTAGATAGATCACTTGCAACTTGCAACATGAAAACACTTGTTGCAATAGAATTGTTGCAACATATGTGTGAAAATATATGCAACATACAGATCAAAACGCTTGCAACATATGTCTGGAAACAAATGAAACAACTCGAACAAACGCTTGCAACATGCCTCTAAAACACTTGCAACATGTGCAACATCCCCCAATCTACATATGAAATAATTGCAACATGCCTCTGAAATATTTGAAACAATTAAAACATGCATTTGCAACATAGGGGAAGAGGGGCCTAGGCTGGTCGATTCTGGCCGATAGGGTGGGAGCCAACGGCAAGCAGCTACACGCGAGCTCCATCCAGCACCAGCACCAGCAGCGCGCGTGAGCACCACCCCCACTAGTGCCACCGGCACCAGGCTTGGCTCGTCGGCGACGGTGGGGAATGGGGGGTGGGGAGCGCCATGGCCGCTGGGGTAGGGTGAGAGAGGGCGCCGTGCAAGGGTGGGGGAGAGCCGCCCACTCCCCTGCAACACCGCCGCGCCACCTCTATGGATCTCGCCGGAGGCAAGTGGATCTCGCTCGTGCTCCATAGATCGTCTCACCGGGGTGGGGGAGAGGGCCGTCGGATCTGCAGGCATTGGGGGCTCCTGGTGAGGACGCCGAGCGTTGGTGCGCTGCGGCAGGGGATGAGGAGCGCGGAAGGGGTAAGGATGGGGAGGAGGAAGCAAAAGGATATGTTTTTTAATATATATGCGGGCGGGAGCAAGCGGCAGGGGTGAAAAGACCGTCCGACGTTTGTGCAGTCCATCGGACGCACAACACGTAACATTTCCATTTCAATAAAGTTTCCTAACATATATAAATACTCTCCCTAGTCACAGATAAGTGGCGGTTGCCTAAAGTCAATTATTTCAAACTTTAACCAATACTTTTGTTATGATAATTAATATATCTATTAAAATATAATACATATTTTTACGAAAACTTTCAAACATTCAAACGCAAACACAAAAACAGTAACTTAGAGATGTCAAAGTTAGACTCATAATTGACTTCAAATAATTGCAAAGCGTCACTTATTGTGACTAGAGAAAGTACTTGATTGGTTAAATCCCCAAGCAAGCGCTAATCAAGATCCAACTTACTGCAAGCTTGTTTGTCTAAACATATACAACTTACTCTATATCTCCATCCTGAATAAATCAATTTTTAAAGTTGTCTTAAGTCATTTATTTAACTTTCGATTGAATTTAAAGAAAAGAGCATCAAGATTTATGACACAAAACTTATATCATTAGATACACCAGAAAATATATTTTTATAATATGTTCATTTGGTTTCATAAATATTTGTGCTCCTTTTTTTATAAATTTGGTTAAACATCAATAAGCCTGACTTAAGATAACTATAGAAATTGATTTATTCGGGGTGAGGATGGAATATAAGTATATACTCCTTAGGTTGCAAGGCTTCGGTGGCTTAGCTGAAACAAAATAATATAAAGCTAGAGCCTACTAGACAGCTTTAGTTGTGCCTAACTATAGGATCCGATCTGCCGAACGTATAGTATCTCTGCAGTCTCTTGACAAGAATGCATGATTGGATCTCTCACCATTTGCTTACTTGAAGTGCTATTCATCTTTTTTCTTCGTTTGCTTAGTATTCTAATGGTGTTATTAATTCGTCCTATAAAAAACTAGAACCAATTAATTAAATTGAGGTCAGAAAAGTGCAGCTGCATGCGCCATACTGTAGTATGGTCGGTACAAGATGAACAACGCAGTTGCTGCTTGCGACTGGATGTGGAACAACATGATTGGACTTATTCTGCTGCCACGTCGGTTTCAACTACAAAGACTATACTTTGATTCAAATTTCTGATCAACTTACATATATAGCAATTGCTAATTTGCTATCTTTGCTCTCTTTTGTTCTCGATTATCTTTATGTGATTCAATTGATTTTTGAGGAATCGACTAGCATCTTGATACTAGTAGTGATAGTTTATCAACTTGGATTACTAAAAAATACATATTATTGCTGGCACTGTCACTGTCGGTGGCTTTGAAATCGGCAGTGATAATGTATCACACTACTGATTTAAGGGTATAGACAACAGTGAGTCTAACCAGCAATGGTAGATAATTTTTCACTTATGATTATTTGCAACAACTATTTTCAACCATATAGCCTGTGACTATATAGCTTGGTAGCAAAAAATACCCTTGTAGGTCTGATGAGCATATATATATATATATATATATATATATATATATATATATATATATATATATATATATATATATATATATATATATATATATATATATATATATATATATTTGGTCTCCAATCCGCCGAACAACAATTGCGGTAGACTAAAGTCGCCACTTTCGGCCCTTAGCATTGAATTCATTTGACAGTAACACTATATAAAGAGGCTCTATAATTACATAACTACTTCAGTCATCATCAGTCACAAGATTCATAACCTATACTGTCCGCTCGATCTTCGTCGTATCTCGAAAAACGCGCCTGCAAGTTTTTTTTACCATATATCATCTCTTTCATTAGTTTGTCGTTATAGAGATGTGTTCGTTCAGAAGAAAAAAATGGGACAGGTGAAGTTTGAGTTCAACCTAAAAACTAAAAAAAAAGGAGAGGTGAAACTGCATATGCGCTAGTAATTCAGCGGCTGGCCACGCCCAAAGGTGTTTGTCAAATTCAAGCAGCTGTATTTGTATGGACGCAAACCACACACGACGACCGCCGCCAGTCCTTTTTTTTTTGGATGGAACTGGAGGGGCTAAAAGCCCCTACAGGAAATTTATTCAAAAGAAGCCAAACAACAAAGTAGCCCGCCAGTCCAATTTTCCAGCAGTGTGTGGTAAGGTAATATATCATTTGCATGCAATGAGGTCTTCGGCGAAAGTTTGGACCGAAGACAAACTAGTCAAAAAGATTTTCAGATGTAGTCACAGAGATTACTTGAATTTTCCACACATGTGAACACTATCTAGAACCTGGAATCATAATGACATAATCTGTAGAGGTGGATAGATGACGCCTTTAATTTTACCCTACTGAATTAGGGTCAAACATACACATCCACCTTCTCTTGTGTGGCTTGTGTATATATATGACACTCCTAAATGGGACCTAGATCAGTTGACTCGCTCGTCTAGCTACTAGCTAGTGTTGGCCCCTTAGCCATATATGCATCTTTTTCATTCCAGTTCGACGGCTACAAAAATAAATAAATTCACATAGCCCTTCTTATAATTAATTTATTCATTATTTATTTACGACATTGACATATAGTGGATAATTAGCTTGCTGCCCGTTTAGTTCCTTCAATCAGATAGAAGTAGATGAATGGATCAGTCAGAGGTTAGCTTCAGCTAGTTAGTAGTCTAGTGCTAGGCATGCGAGATGGGATGTTTGTTTTTCCTCTGCCCTGTGTTGTTATTTTCTTTTCTTTTCTTTTCTTTTTTGAATGAATGCCCTGTGTTGTTATTGACTTTGTTGGTTGATTCTTCTCTGCTGCTACAAGCCAACAATGGAGTCATCATTTGGTGAGAAAAGGTCATCATCTCCTTGTCCTTGGGTTCGGTATCTCTCCAATCTGATACAATTCTCTGATGCTAGTGTTTCGCTGTTTTCTCCAGTCCATCTTAATGAAGGTGCTCCTGCTATCTCTTGTCAAAGAAACAGCTCCTTCGTAGGCTCGTGTTTTCTCATGTATAGTTGTTCGGGGGCGACCCACCTACTTTATTTAATGCTCTCAGAAGTGCCTAAATTGAACTTTTACTGTAAATTAAGTTTATGTAGGGCAAGCAATAGGCATCATAGGCCATACTAGCTACTTTTCCCGTTCTAAATTATAGTTCATTTTAGATTTGTCTTGAGTCAAACCTCTGCAATATAACTTTGTTTATAGAAAAAATAACGCATCAATTTATAACAACTTATAGATGTTAATCTAGTTTTATTTATAGAAAATAGCTCAATATTCATATCACTTTGAACTTGCTTGGCCATCCCGTGCATACATATCAACTGTCCATTGCTTTTTAGCTGGCAACATGCTTTGCATTTGACAAAGCAAACACAAGTAATTAGCCACACCAAACCCACTCAGCCTAAATTGATCGATATCTGCCTACGGAGCAGCTCCATCCATCCCATGTTCTTTTCTTGAACATTTTCTTTCTCTTGACGTAGATAGCAGCCGACAGTGGTATGTTCATCAGCAATCTTAGCTTGCAGAGACTCTTCCTTCCCGTGTAATGCATTGCGATAACAGAAGGATCGGAGAAGGGTAGTAAGCTGGTCACCTGCTGCAATGACATGTGTGGTGCGGTCTGATGCCTCTACCCACGAACTAATTGATGATCAACACCAAATCTCTGCAGATCAGCGACATTTCGTCTGTTTAACAATATAATTTCGCCTGATGAGAAAATGGAAATGAAAGCATGTCCACTCCAAGCCTTTCAGCTAAAATAATTATGAGAGAATGTGCATTCAACTTTTTTGGTCTATAGCTAGGTTGGTATCATCCAACATAACACTTTGAAAAAATGTCACATCCCTTTCAAGTTTCAACTATTCTAGTACCATGTGCAGGCAAAGCATGCAGCTACAATTATGATTCCCAAAAGCATCTTAGCGTGAAACTGAGCTGCCTCCTTCCGGCACAAACATAACAGATTAACAACTTTGGAATTGTCAAAGCCTTAGACACAGTTTTACCACCGCACCTATCAACATTACATATCGTCATACTTGTCACGGTCCTCAAATGACTACTAATTTTTGTTATAGTGTATAATTTATAAAGTATAAAGAATTATACTATTATGAAAATAGTCTCCATATAGTTTTAAAACGTCCCAACTGAACACATGCATACAGGGACGAAGCCAGAAAAAAATTTAGGAGGAGCTGAACAAAAGAATAGAGACTTTTTATCTTTTCTTAACCTTAGCCCTCCTACCTAACACCCCCCACCCCACCCCCCCTGCTGCCTCGGTCGCTGCATGCATAGTAATTTATCATGAACTTCTAATCGTTGTCTGCATGCAACTCAAAATGAAATGAATCATTTGCTAATCGTACCATGCTAGCAAATGGTGTGTGGATTGTTGTTAGACGGTGTGTGAACTGCATGCTTCCCATATGTAATTAAAAAAATTAGGGATTTATTTAATTATTGCGAAATTGCCATGCTAAAAACACACTAAGTCCTCGTCCAGGTAACATGCTGCATTGTCAAGGCAACTGCTCTGATCGTGAGCGTGAGAGTGTAGTACATTATTGCCCTATTCACAGCCACTTAACTCTGAAGCAAAATGTCCCTCATGCATCTCGCTCGAAGACAATTGACTACTGCTCCAAAAAAATGTCCTGGATTAAGGACTTTTGAACAAATAGATAATACTATTATTATATGTAATGTTGTGTTGAAAGCATGTGGTTAATTTGTACAGGTTTAAATAAATAACCGTCACTGCTACAGTGTACAGTGTGGTACTGGAAGCCATGCATGCATACAAGTTTGACCATTCCTCGCCGGCATACATGCATGGGCAGTACTAGCAGCGCTGGCCTCTGAATGATGGTTCCGGGTCTTTCTTGCCAGCAGTTCTGCAGTCTGCAGAATAGAGAATCCGTGTGCCCATCACACGCATCACGCAACGTACTATCAGCAGCTGCTGACAAAGATTTTAATCTGATAAGCAAAAAAAATTACTGGGAGGCCGGATTATATATGGGGCAACATGCATGACTAGGTACCACACGCAGCTAACTACTAGCCTTCTCAGAGACTGATGAAGAAAGGGTAGCTTCGCTGAACCGTCCCAAGATTAGAAAAGGGGTCATCTGTAGGGTACCTTTAAGAAACCGTGTTGCTCTTTTCTGCTTTGCTAGGTGTATTAACATGCTCAAAACGTTCCCATGCATTCTGTGCATGCTGTCCTAAACTACACAGCATCGAGATGCTTGGCAATGCAGGCTTCAACGACTCTGCATGAGTTGTCGTCATCCTAGGTTCCTGGTTGTTGCTACTACCAAACTCTCGAGTGCACAATACATTCCCAGAATACATACATGCGCGCTCTGAAGTAAGGTACGTACACACCTACGGCACACACCTGGCTGGTTCCTAATTTCCTGTTGGGCAGTCAGCATATAACTAACCAGCTTGATTGGCGGAGGATCATCGGTTGCTTTTCCACTCAAAGTACGTCCAACAAAGCAGGTGAAGTCGTCGTACCATAAGTCCATACTCCATACATGATGTAACCTAGCTAGCTAATCATATGTTAGTTAATTTTTTTATGCATATTCATGCCCGTGCTAGACTGCTCCTAGCTTCAATATTATACATACAAGTTGCTGATGCTACAAAACCAAACCAGCTGCTGCCCAGGGCTTGCTTGGGCTATAAATACCCATGCATGCTCCCCAGCTAGCCATCTCATTCTACAGCCAAGACACACACTGCAGTCTGTGCAGCAGCAGCACTTGGGATAGGAATATATACCACCCATTGATTGATATCAATCATGGCTCCAGCATCAGCTGCAACAAAATGCAGCAGCAGCGCCAGCGGCGTCGCTCTGCTCTTGCTCCTAGTGCTAATGGCGGCCGGCACCTCGTCGGCGCAGCTGTCAACCAGCTTCTACTCCTCCTCGTGCCCCGGCGTGTACGATGCCGTCAAGTCGGCGATCCAGTCCGCCATCACCACCGAGCAGCGCATGGGCGCCTCCATCGTCCGCCTCTTTTTCCACGACTGCTTCGTCCAAGTTATTACCACCGCCACCATTCCCTCCACCATGCATCTCATCATATCATGCATGACTAACCTAATTTGGTCACCGTGGATGTAGGGCTGCGACGCGTCGCTGCTGCTGGATGACACGGCCAGCTTCCAGGGCGAGAAGATGGCGACGCCCAACAACGGCTCCGTGCGAGGCTTCGAGGTCATCGACGCCGTCAAGTCCGCCGTCGAGAAGGTCTGCCCTGGCATCGTCTCCTGCGCCGACATCCTCGCCATCGCTGCAAGGGACAGCGTCGTCATCGTGAGTGTAGTAGCGCATCAGTGCATGGCAATAGATGATGAACTGTGAGACTGTGTCAATTGATGGATGCTGACGGTGATATGCAGCTGGGTGGTCCGAGCTGGGACGTGAAGGTCGGGCGGCGCGACTCGACGACGGCGAGCTTCAGGGGCGCCAACAACAACATCCCGCCGCCGACGTCGGGCCTCGCCAACCTCACCTCGCTCTTCGCCGCGCAGGGCCTCTCCCAAAAAGACATGGTCGCGCTCTCTGGTGCGTGTGTAATATTCTCAAAAAATATTCTCTCTCAAACGCATATATATATATATATGGAATTACTATATTCCAGTTAGAATTTTTTTTTTGAAAACTTTCCAGTTAGAATATAGCAAAAGCCTTTCCACATACACTCGATCTATTTATTACTAAATAATGTAGCTTTGTTTGGTGGAAGATGCAGCTGGTATATATATGTACTATCACCACCGGAATTTGATACTAGTTCCGTTTTGACTTGGAAGCTTAACTCTCTTCGTCGTCACATATCAAGCTGTGACATGCATGAATAGCCTAATTTTGGCAGTTAGTTAGAAAGACTACATAAATAATTAGTGTTGGCCCATGTGTGTTCATATTACTACTAGACAAATTACATATGTTTTAAAAAATTTATCATATGAAAGTTGGGCCGAAACAGTTATATCTGCGCAGTTAGAAAAATGTAAAAGAGGTGACATTACCACATATTGTCGGCAGGGGTTTCTTGTAGAAAATTCTTTGCCCAAAGCTTTAACTTTTTGCTAATCCTGCCTCTAACTAGATAGCCACTTTCGATGGCTGAAAGGTCAGTCTTCCACCTAATATCTTAATTCGACGAAATACTAAAACATGCATAAAGTACTTGCACATTATGTACATACCAAGATACAAGTTAGGTACAAACCATACATGTGGTTCCTTTTGTTTCGCTTCATTCCTAGAATCAGATACCTTTATCTTCTTTTTTAGAAATTTAGACAATCAAGAACAGCCTGTATGCTTTTTTTGAATAAAAAAACAAGAAGATGCTTCCAAAAGTTATGTGCTAATTTAAGCGGTACATAATTCATTTTCTCAATCACCCCATTTGTAACTTTCGATCATGCAGGGTTCTCTCTATATAGTAATCTAAATCATTAAGCATTTTTGTTTGTGTAATGCCTCTTTTGCCAGGAGCTCACACCATTGGCCAAGCACGTTGCACCAACTTCAGAGCCCACGTATACAATGACACTAACATCGATGGCACCTTCGCAAGAACAAGGCAATCAGGCTGCCCTAGAACCTCAGGTTCAGGTGACAACAATTTGGCGCCTCTGGACCTTCAAACCCCAACCGTCTTTGAGAACAACTACTACAAGAACCTTGTGTGCAAGGAGGGGCTTCTACACTCCGACCAGGAGCTCTTCAATGGCGGAGCCACCGATGCGCAAGTTCAATCATACATCAGTAGCCAGAGCACATTCTTCTCAGATTTTGTGACAGGCATGATAAAGATGGGTGACATCACACCGTTAACAGGCTCTAATGGGCAGATCAGGAAGAACTGCAGAAGGATTAACTAATAAGAGGCGGTGCACACTATCTAGTAGCAAGGGTTTTCAGTGTGATGTCCTTAAGTTAATTTGTAATATGTCTACTTTCACAAAATTGTGAGATCATCATGTTGTACCAAGGTGTTGAGATGTTGTTCATTTAAATAAGTAATCCATCATTTGTTCTTTACACAACCTTTTTCTTGAGTTTATTATTATACATGTACTTTTGCATGATAAATAAATGATGTGAAGTATTCAAAGTAAAAAGGATGAACTGTTAAAACTAACATATTTCTAATGTTGCCCTTTTTTCACACTTTATGATGTGGCATAGTGTCCAAGGAAGAATGATCGGTGGGACGAAGGTCCCATTCCAGGTTGCACCAATGCAATTGGAGACCCTAAACTAGCCGGCGGGAAATAATAAATGCGGGTTCTACGTAATGTGGGCAATGCTTCGCTACCTCGGTGTGAAATCGGAGCATGCAGATGCTTTGGTGTGTATAATTCTCATTTCATTTACACTAGTAGAGAAACGACTTTTGATCCACTTTGAAATTTGGCTTTAGTCCCGGTATTTTTCGTGCCCGGGACTAGAGAAACCTTTAGTACCGGTTGGTAGCTCTAACCGGGACTAAAGGTCCTGCCCAATGGCTACTGTGGCAGCCTTTTGTTGCAGGGGACCTTTAGTCCCGGTTGGAGCTACCAACCGGAACTAAATGTTAACTTTTACTCCCGGCTGGTCCCTCTAACCGGGAGTAAAAGTCTACTCCCGGTTAGGCTCCGTCCGAGATTAGAAATGAACCTTTAGTCCCGGTTGCTGTCTCCAACCGGGACTAAAGGTCTCCAACCGAATACGGGAGCGACATTTTGTTCAACCGGGACTAGTACTTAGAGTAGCTGCTACATAGTACGTACTGATAGCTAGCTGATCCCGGCTAGTACGTAGGAACTAGTTAGTACATTTTGTTCACCGTCAGTACTGACATGTCCGAGACTAGTACGTAGCTGTTCACCGTCAGGACATGTCAGTACGTGTCTCTCTGCTAGCTAGCTGCTACGTACGTAGGAAATCAATTAGTCCCGGCTGATCCCGGCTGACCATCGAGGACTGCTAGCTAGCTGCTACACTAGTACGTAGGAAATCAATTAGTCCCGGCTGGTATTACGAGCCGGGACTAAAGATATACTTTTAGTCCCGGCTGGTATTACCAGCCGGGACTAAAGGTCTTTTAGTCCCGGGTGTTTATAGGAGCTTCGATGGGCCGGCCCAGTACGCAATATACTGGAATTGCTGGCCAGTCCCACCTATTAGCACCACCTCGCTTGTTCAGAAAAGTGAAAGCTAACTTAAAAGCTCAGCTCTCGAACCATGCAGCACGAACTTGAACAGGATCTGCTCTATGGGATTGTACCGCTGATCCTTGACTAAAGGTCCTTCGTACTATAGTTTATACAAAATGTTGAACATTATAAACGTACGTATATTCTAGCAGCGTAGAATGCGTATTCAAAAACCAAAACGAATCATCAATTAAAAAAAGAAAAAAAAAGAAAATAGAAATAGAAACAAAAAAAAAGAAAACCTTTAGTTCGGTAGCAGCGTGAAAATAGAAAAAAAAAGGAAAATAGAAATAGAAACAAAAAAACCTGGTAGCAGCGTGAAAATAGAAATAGAAACAAAAAAAAGAAAAAAAAACCTTTAGTCCCGGTTGGTATTATCAACCGGGACTAAAGGGTTTAGCCCCGGTTGGTATTACCAACCGGGACTAAAGGTCCACCTTTAGTCCCGGGCGCGAAACCGGGACTAAAGGAGGGGCCCTTTAGTCCCGGATTCGTGCTCCCGGTTCCAAAACCGGGACTAAAGGGGGTTGCGAACCGGGAGTAAAAGTAGTTTCTCTACTGGTGTTATATTTGTTAATTCAACAAAATGATCTATTGTTATCCCTTACATTTGTGCCTTTCGATATCATCTTTTTTGAATGGCAGCGCAAAAAATTTAAACACCAAAGGTTGTTAGACATGGAGATCTTAGCATTGTCATTGGAGCTAGCAGCCTTCATCCTAGCTGAGGTATTGGAATATAACGGAACATTCTTCATTGCACAGCCCATGAAGTACAAGGACCACTATGGGACAGAGCGGCTCGCTAGACTACTGTAATTTCTTTTTTATTTTGAGGAATCGAGATCTTGATAAGTACAATTGAACTGTAACCGTAACATTTGTAATGTTTGATGTTGATGGACATGTCGTCTACGTAGCGAATATAAAGCGAAACCCGATTCCACGAAAAAAAATAAAATAAATTATAAAACAATAAAATGCGAAATAGGGATCACTGCTGGTTAGCACAAAACCGGCAGTGATGGTAAAGAGGGCACTGCCGGCTTGAGCCACGAGCTGGCAGTGTTGCTCAAGACATCACTGTCGGCTTGACATACTAACCGACAGTGTTGTTGAAGTCATCACCGCCGGCTTGACCTACCAGCCAGTAGTGTTGCCTTCACCAACACAGCTGGCTTGAACCACTAGCCGGCAGTGATGGCTCGACCAACACAGCTGGCTTGAGCCATCAACCAACAGTGTTGGCTTGCTCAACACTGCTGGCTTGAGATAGCAGCCGACAGTGTAGGCTTACTCAACACTGCTGGCTTGAGCCACTAGCCGACAGCGTTGTTTTGACCATCACTGTCGGTTGAGGCCACAAACCGATAGTCACTACGATAGAAAACGTTTTTACTGGCGAGTAAAACACCACTCTGCTGGTGGGTTCCGCACCCGCCAACAACTTTGAGCCAGCACAAATGGCGGTCTGTGCTGGCGGGTGCTCGCATGCCAGTACAGTGGTCCACTGTGCCGGCGGACGACATAACCAATCGCCAGCACAGTAGACCACCGTCTGTACTCAACGCGAACCGTACATTCCTTTTTCATCTAAAAACTCTAGATGATTGGCATCGAAGGTCCTCCACTGGCGAGCATCGGATGGATGTCGAAGCTTTCCGTCATCCTTTACTGGGCGATCAGCGTGCCAAGTCATCTGTTCAGCAGTGTTTGGGTTTGAGAACAAACGCTTCAGACAGTCCACCACCGGCAAGTACCACATCACCAAGGTAGGGACTCTGCGCTGAGTCGTCGTGTCAGTACCCATACAGGACTCATCCTCCACTTGAGCACCAGCACCTTTCTTTGCACCCTTCTTCCTCTTATCCCCGATTGAGGAACCGGCATGGTCCCCATAGAAATCGGTATTACCTTTGTAACGGCTAGCATCGCAATTTGGACACCTTTCCAATGCCGTGTGCTCACCGCGGTACAGTATGCAGTGGTTCCTGCAGGCGTGTATTCTCTGCACACACATCTTCAATGGATTGATAATCTTCTTTGCTTCGTATATGTTATTTGGCACAAAGTTCGGCTTCGGTAGCAAATTGCCAAGCAGAGTAAGGAGATCATTGAAACTATTGTCTGACCAACCGAATTTAGCCTTCAGGATCAGAAGATGAAGGACGAAACACAGCACTATCCACTCCTTCCCACATCCCTCATACATATATGGTCCTTTGCTGCCTTCTTTAGGGTCTCGAAATTCTCTAACCCTTTAGCAGTCCCTAGCAAAACTTCCGGTTCAATATGGCGCAACATGTCCTCCATATCAGCATCACGTTCCTCATCCACTTTTGGTTCCACATGCACATATGTTTGATCACCATTTTGATCTCCAAGATCGTAATCATCATCCATCATAACATGATCATTGTCACTTGCATCATCACCACCCACTTCATCACAGCCAGTATTGATGTATGTGTTGTTGGAAGTAGCTCCTGCCTCTCCATGGTGGGACCAAATTGTGTAGTCATGCACAAAACCTCCTGTATCAAATGCCTCTTGATGACATTAGTATCCTCCCATAAAATTTTGTTGCTACAGTCACAACACGGACAACGAATTTGCTTTGTCTTGCAAATGCGAGCGTGCTTCTTCGCAGCCTCCACAAACTTCTCTACCTCTGACATGAAAGTAAGCGAATGCCTCCGTGTGCCATACATCCATGCTCTTTGATCCATCTTTAACAACCTATATGATAAGATTTCCATGTTATTAAAATGAAAAACATAGCAGTTAAACCTAGGATGTAATTACATTAAAATGACAAACATAGGTTATAATAAGATCAAGGAAGAGAAATTAGTTGGGCGCAGCAATTTTGTCACCACCGGATGTTCCGAAGCCTCTTAGGTTCCAGCAGGGGAACATCCGGTGGTGAAGAAAATCTCAGTAATTTTTGGACCCTTGAAAAATTTGTCCAGCGCATCTAAACATCATAGCGTTGGACCTTCCCGTGCGCTGTTCACCTTGTTATCAACTCCCATTGGAACATCCGGTGCCATTTTTACCACGTGCATCTCCACGGCGTCCTTTTACGACGCGCCGCTTTTTTAATTAACCTAGCCTTTTACCACGCCCCGCCCGCCGTTTTCACCGTGCGCCTCCGCTCCCATGCGCCACGCCGCCTCCGGCCATCTCTGTGCCGTGCGCCTCACCGCCTAGGGTTCCACCGCCGCCGCCGCCGCCGCCTCCTCGCCGCTCACCGCCATCTTTAAGGCCAAAGAGTCCACTTCCTACCCGAAATCCTTGTGCAGTGGTGAGGCCCCATCTAATTCTCCCCTTTGCTATGCTTAAGTTACATTTTACTCTTGTATATCTCTCTCTCGGCATTCTATAATCTTCCACCATATCTCTTGCAGATGGCAGGCGAGAAGAGGAAGGGTAAGGAAAAGGTTGTGCCTAAGAAGAAGAAGAGCAAGTCCGACAAGGATTGGGAGCGTGCATCGAGCGTGCCGGATACTGAGGGGCAGCCACAGAGGGGCATTCGTATTGGGGAGCCAGTTCAGGGCAGTGCACAGGCTCGGGGGGAGCAGCCGACAGAGCAGCCTTTGAGGAGGTCAGGCCGTACTCGTCAGACAGAGACAGCTACACCTTCTTCCGCGCAGCGTTCCCGTCCTCAGACCCGCGGAGGA